GCATATTTCCTTCTCAGAAATTCTTTGTCCCATTCTCTCCTTTGCTCTGGTTCATATTTTCAGTAGGCTCATCTATAATGTTTATTTCCCTTCACTTATCATTTTATTGATACTTGCATCTGATAAGTAGATTAAATCAGCAAACTCAAGTGAGGTAAGGCTTTCCCTTGAGCACATTCAATGAAACAGGGGTGATCCTGGTTTCCAGTCAGTTGATCAGCCGCTGAGCCATGCAGTGGGCACACAAAGGAAGCTGCACCCACAGCTCTCTGCCCTGGCTGGCTGCTGAGCTCTGCATTTGTTACTGCTTTGTTTCCCCAGAGGCCTGGAGTTTTCTTCCACCCAATCAGCAGTTACTGGCTTTTCCCCAGTGCCTCGCCTGCATTCTGAATAGGAAGCTAGAAGGTATACTTGTACCAGCTGAACCTTTGTGGTCTCCATCAGTAAAGCCTGAGCTGGGCAGAGTATCATTTACTTTGTTCATGAGTTAAGATGGACAGAAGTGCTTATTTTTTTTTCGTCCTCTGGCCTTGGAAAGCCCCCCCCCCCCCGCAGGGACTCAATTCTATTAGGAAGAGTTTGGATGATGTTCTTTTGCTGCCATAATGAATGAATACTGGATGAATAGTTTGTCTTTTCCTAGATCTTTCCTTCATCATACAAATATTTTTTGGTAGGATATTTTTTCTTGTCTTCGTGTGTGTGTGTGTGGTTCCTGGGGCTTGAACTCGGGCCTGGGCTCTGTCCCTGAGTTTTTGTGCTCAAGGCAAGCACTCTTTCACTTGAGCCACAAGTGATAGACCATATCACTTTTGGCTTTTTGGTGATTAACAAGAGACAAGAGTCTGATGGATTTTCCTGTCCAGTCTGGCTTTGAACTTTTTTCCTCAGATCTCAGCCTCTTGAGTAGCCAGGATTACAGGTGTGAGCTATGGGGTACACAGATAATCAGTGAGATTTGCTACAGTGTATGTAAAACTGTGGTTAGACCATTCAAATGGCTGCAGAGTTGGGAAGAAATCTTATTTTTGAAGTTGTCATGCTGAGCTGAACTAAGTAGCCTGGGTTGTTAGACAGTATGTTGGTCATTTTTCAGAAGATATTTTGAGTTGTTGGAGTCAGTAGGGAACAGTGTAAACATATGGGAAACAAGGCAAATCCATATATATCATGGGGAGGGGAATAAAATAAATACTAAGAGCCAGCTTCTAGCTTCCAGTAGCAGTATTAGCAACATCAGCAGCACATCCACTTCTGAGTCACAGACCTGATTTATTACACAGATGTTTCTGTCTTGGGTGAGTCACTGCGGAAATGGGTTCAGGGCCTGACAGGTAAGACGCTCAGGTTTGTAGACAGCTGTAAACATGCATACAGAAAACTAGCACTGGAACTTCCTGTGCAGCAGTGCTCAGAGTCGGGAAGCTAGTTTTGCCTGTAATCTCTCAGATTCCAAAGGCTACTCACATTTTTTGTTCCTCTGCCGGGGTCTATTAGAGTGGAAAGTGCATATTAGTTTCAATCAAGGGTTTTCTTAGAATTCTTAAATACTCAGGCTGTTTTAAACTCTAACAAAGATAAAGAATGCTCACCGAGCACCAGTGGCTCATGCCTGTAATCCTAGCTATTCAAAAGGCTAAGATCTGAATCAAAAGTTTGAAGCCAACCTGAGCAGAAGTGAAGTTGTGACTCAAGTGGTTGAGTCAGCCTTGAGCAAGAAAGCTAAGGGATAGTGCCTAGGCCATGAGTTCAAGCCCTAGTACTGGAATGCATGCGTTCCAGAGAATTCTCAGCTGACATGGCAGCACATACCTATAATCTAGAAGTCATGAGGGTAAGGCAGGAAGATCACAAGTTTGAGGCCCCATAGGGCCACATAATGAGACACTGTCTAAAAAATTCTCTCTTGCTACACTTTAAGCCACCAAGTACTTTCAAATGTGCTATGGAGGTACAAAGCCCTTGCTTTTGTCCTTTAGAGATGGGCCTCACTTGAGGGAGCACTATGGAAGAGGGAAAGGAAGTAGCTCCTGAATGAAAGCATTTTGCAACCTTTCAGCAGATGTTATCATCAGAAATTGGTGCTTCCTCCTATCATTCCTCCTCTAGAACCTCCAGTCCAGAGCTCATCACCCCATCCAGGGGCCATTGCTGACCTTGACCTGTCCTAGAGCATACTAGCTGGCTTCTCATGGTCAAGCACACTACTGCACTTAACTTTATTGCCTTGAATGTATGTACATAGAACTCGGTTTCACAACTCAAGACCTGTACCACTTTCTCTTCTCTGTCAGTGATTGTGACTTCCTAAGTTGCACTCTCAGTTTTGAAATCTATGCCCTAGGGGAAAGTGCTTGCCTATGCAGATCAACTCTGGTTATGACCCTTACTCCTTTTCTAGTAGCCAGAACTTTGGTGCAAGGCCCCTCCAGTGTGGCTTTTTGCATCAACATTTGGCAAGTGTTTATCAAATTTAAGTATTAACTTATGTCTTAAATTAAATTATTATTCTAAGTGTCAGAATGTCTTCGGAAGGGTATACACAGAAGGAGCAGTGACAAGATCCATCGGTGGAGGGGGAATAACAGGGACACTAAATAGGCTTCCCAGAGAAGGGTGCTTTTAGAACCTGGTTTGAGTGTACTTCATACCAACAGCGGGTTGGGTATGACTGGCTGTAGCACTGCTGTACAAAGGACAGGGTACACTTTACAGCCAGGTGGCTGCACTATCAGCCAGATAGTGTGATGCAATCGCTGGAAATATAGAACTTTAAAGGCTCTGAGCACCATGCTAACTCAGGCTAACCAGTGGTCAGGCTTAGATGAGCTTTGAAGGGTTTACTTGGTCCCATGGTTTAGTCTGAGTTTTAGAAAAACTCACTGGCTAGAGTGACAGGTTAGGAGATCCTTTAGTTTGTATACTGGGTGAGTCTGGGAGAGAAATGATAATGACATATAAAGGATGAAGAGAGATGGAGCAATGACTCAGTGGAAAAACCATTTGATAGAACAGGAGGAAAAGGGAGCCTTTCAGATTTCTGGTGTAGCTGACAGGCACAAAGAGAAGATAGAAATAGGTGCTAAGCCTCTTCATTTGTATATAGAATAATATGCATACTGAAAAGAACACAAAAAATTAGGAAACAAAGGCTCTGTTTTTAATTTGTCCTATCGTTTTTAGATGGCTCTGTATTTACCTCATATATGGTATATACATGTGAACATCTGAGGGAAGGGAACAGAGCACAGAATCAGTGAAAAGTAGAATCAGTGAAAAAATACAGCCAAGGAGCCCATCAGCTCCACTGGACATTGATGAAAATGAACTAAACGCAAGGGTGATGATGGGAGGGAGGGAATGAGAGAGAAAGAGGGAACGGGTGAACTAAGCAAAAGGAAGGAAATGTACATATCACTCGATTTGTAAGAAATAGTTTTATTGTTAAAGGTCATAGAGTTCATAAGCAATGTACACTACGATAAAGATGACTATCATTGTGAAGATTAAAAGGTATTTGTGACTTTACTAAGTATATCTATGCCGCAGTATTGTGAAAGTTACGTAGTTACTTAATCTCAATAAAGAAATATTTGGGAGCTGGGAATGTGGCTCAGTGGTAGAGCGCTTGCCTTGCATGCATGAGGCCCTGGGTTCGATTCCTCAGAACCACATAAGCAAAAAGAAAAAAGCTGGAAGTGGTGCTGTGGCTCAAGTGGTAGAGCGCTAGCCTTGAGCTGAATAGCTGAGGGACAGCGCTCAGGCCCAGAGTTCAGGCCCCACGACCGGACCCCCCCAAAAAAATATTGGGGGAAAAAAAGAAATAGGTGCTAAGGAAGAAGATGGAATACTGGGTGGGAGATGGCATTTGAGTACCCCCATCTTCCTCCCTTTGCTTACAGAAATACAAAAGGAAGATGACTGTATAGATCTGGGGCATATGAAATAATATTTGTTAAAATATTACTATTTATTATTATTTTAATATTTAACCTACTTAATGTGGATATGTGGAGTATTCACATAGCTAGTTCTAATATTAAGATTGTATTTAATTTTAATATTTCTTAAAGTTTTTGAAAATTTTAAATTTTAAAAATAATTTTAATACTGATGTTTAAAGTATTTAAATGACTAATTTTAATATTAACATTTAGTATTAGTATTTTAATAAAGTTGATTCGTTTTGTAATTATTTATTCTTTATCATAAAATAAATTTGGTTAGAGTTTGTATTATAGTTTTGACAAGCAAAGCTCAACTCCTTTACTTTAAACCTCCGCTTTTAAAAAAGATATCCTGTTCTAACTCCTGCCTTGTCTGAAGTGAGCTTTAAGAACTCTTTGTTAAGTCTAGTGCCGGTGGCTTACACCTGTAATCCAAGTTATTCAGGAAACTGAGACTTGAGGATGGTGGTTCAAAGCCAGCGCAGGAAAGTCCATGAGACTCTTAGCTCCAATCAACTGCCAAAAAAACAAAAAAATCCAGTAGAGCTGTGGCTCAAGTGGTAGAGTGCTAGCCTTGAGTAAACAAGGATCAGAGACAGTGCTCAGGCTCTGAGTTCAAGCCCCAGGATTGGCAATATCAAAGAATTCTCTATAGCCATGGATTTTCTCTTCATGATATATTGCCTTGATTATATAACTAGTTTCATTCATCTCATATTTTTGTGACACATGATATCTGAACTATAACTACACAAGATAATAGCTACTTGGGTGACTTTTCTCCCCTGAAGTGTGGGCAGAAAAAGGAATGTCTATATTCTGAATAAGAAGACAATCTTAAGTAGCTTTTTTCTCTTTCCTTGTACATCTTTGTAAAAAAAAAAAAGTATAAAACAACAACCATTTGCCTTGCTAACGTATACCTCTGTACCTTATTAAAACCTGTATAACTTTCTGTGTGGATTAGCCAGATTACATTTGGTTTAAGGAAATATGATGATTCATATCTTTCTGATAACTTGGCAAGCCACTGACTTGTTATTGTTTTGCTAGGTTGCAGCTCATGTCCAAAGAAAAGACCTTCTGGAGCAGTTGCATGAGGTCACTTGCCAGACTTAATGAAAGATGCCTAGGAGGAAGAATTTTCATGTGCCAATGTCCTCCATGTCTGATGTGTTCTGTTCTTTTGCAACCCCAGAGCAATGGTATTAAAAGAAAATATTGTGTGAAATAAGAAGACCTGTTCCCATTTTTTCACAACTGACATGTATTAAGAGAAAGATCTCTTCTACAAAATACTAAGTTCTGTGGTCTGGAAGCACCCATTTAAAACGGATCTTCAATAAAAATACACCAAATGGACCATGAGAATGTTCGTTAGTGGCAGAAGAGTCAAAAGAAAGCAGTTTCTTCAGTTATTTGCCACTTGTTTTATACTAAGTTTTATGGTTTTTTGGGGACCAATTGATAATTCCATTGTGAGTCATATGAAGTCCTACTCTTACAGATACCTCATAAATAGCTATCACTTTGTGAATGATACCCTCTCACTTAAGTATGGCTTAGAGGGACCTCGATACCCATACTTGATTAATCACAAGGAGAAATGCCAAGCTCAAGATGTTCTCCTTTTACTGTTTATAAAGACGGCTCCTGAAAACTACAACCGACGTTCGGCCATTAGAAAAACCTGGGGTAATGAGAAGTATGTTCGATCTCAACTCAATGCCAACATCAAAACTCTGTTTGCCCTAGGAACTCCTAATCCACTGAGTGGAGAAGGACTGCAGAGACAACTGCTTTGGGAAGACCAAATATACAACGATATAATCCAGCAAGACTTTGTGGATTCTTTCTACAATCTTACTCTGAAATTACTTTTGCAGTTCAGTTGGACAAATACGTTTTGTCCACATGCCAAATTCCTGATGACTGCTGATGATGACATATTTATCCATATGCCAAATCTTATTGAATACCTTCAAAATCTAGAAGAAATTGGTGTTCGGGACTTTTGGATTGGTCGGGTCCACCGTGGTTCCCCTCCTGTTCGAGATAAAAGCAACAAATACTATGTCTCCTATGAAATGTACCAGTGGCCAGCTTACCCTGATTACACAGCTGGTGCAGCTTATATCATCTCCAGTGATGTAGCTGCTAAAGTCCATGAGGCCTCACTGACCCTGAATTCTACTCTCTACATAGATGATGTGTTCATGGGCCTCTGTGCCAACAAAATGGGGATAGTACCACAATACCATGTATTCTTTGCTGGAGAAGGTAAAGCTCCTTATCATCCCTGCATCTATGAAAAAATGATGACATCTCATGGCCACGTGCAAGATCTCCAAGACCTTTGGAATGATGCTACAGATCCAAAAGTAAAGAGTATTTCAAAGGGTTTTTTTGGTCAAATATACTGCAGATTCATTAAGATAGTTCTTCTTTGTAGATTTGCCTATAAGGACACATATCCTTGCAGGGCTGCCTTTGCCTAATGTAGTACTTGAATGTTGTAATGTTTTCCTGTCACTGAGCCAAACCTGGATGGAAAAAGCTTTACCCTAAGTAAAATGAATGTGAAAGATGGAGGTATTTTGAAAGCCTAGTCTCTCCGAATATTTCTTTGATTACACAGGCTGTTCAATATAACATCTAATTCATGGCCTACACTCATTAAAAGGAATTCGTATTTTTTTTAAAGGCCTGGACACTATCCCTTAGCTTGTAAACTCAAGGCAAGTGCTCTACCACTCGAGCCACGGCTCCCTTTCCATCTTTTCACTGATTAATTGGAGATAAGAATCTCATGGACTTTTCCTGATCTGGCTGGTTTTGAACCTCAATTCTCAGATCACAACTTCCTGAATAGTTAGGAGCCACTGGTGCCTGGCTGTTTGTTGGTTTAAAACAAAATTCATGCAAAATTCAAGTCTTTGTTTATGCCATATACATATTTGAGATGTAAAGAACTTCCTAAGAAACTTAAGTGAATGTACTATAATGCATTTCAAGTATTGCAGTTTATTTTTGTTAAAGAGCACTTGGAGGAAGAAGGCCAGGCAAGCACTGGCACAGGGGAAAAGACATAAGGCCAGTAAAGTCTTTTGTCCTCATGTTGAAAGCTCTACAATTTCATTATAAATAGTGGAATCACCTAATGGTCACTTCCATGTAGCTAATTACCTAGATAGTGTGGGTATCATTTAAAATATATTTCTATCTTCTTTGTCTTCCAAAATTTAGTATGAAATTCGAGAAAGTTATGCTAACTGGTACTTGATGAATTTATTCTAATGTTAGAAAATGATGCAACATGGAAAAGTAGTCACCCATAGGGTCCTTTTCCAAAGAGACTGTTAATTGCAATTAGCTGATTTTAACTGGATCATGTATCAAAATTTTTGGGTGCTAATGCTTGAACAGACTGGGCACTATCCCTGAACTTTTTTTGCTCAAGGCTAGTTCTCTTCCACTTGAACAATAGCTCCACTTCTGGCTTTTTGGTGGTTAATTGGAGATAAGAATCTCACAGACTTTCTTGCCTAGGTTGGCTGTGAACCTTGAATCTCAGATATCTGCCTCCTAAGTAGCTAGAATTACACATGTGAGCCACTGACATCTGGCCTGTCAATTGGTTTTTAAATATTAAATACTGGTCTGTGTTCAAGGGAGTTGTTTGAATGTTATTTGTGCACAAGAATATGACAATGAAGGAAATTTCTAAAGGAAAGGTAAGGGTGAGGGGAGGTGTAGCTCAATGGCAGAGTGCTTGCCCAACTAGGCCCTGGGTTCAGTCCCAAGTGCTACTCACACATAGAAATCAGTCTCTTACCTCTGTAACTTACAAGATTTACATATGGTCCTTCTCAATTGAATAAATCGGTATTTGCTTCCCACTTCACAGTTTTAAATGAAGAGTATTCTATTAAGCTATAGTACCTGCAACAATCTGTTCTTTGCTCAAATAACTATCAGAGAAATCACAATCTTTTAAATATTTCAAGCTTGAAAACAAAATGTAAAAAGGGATGGAGAAGTTGCCAGAGTGAGATTGATAGCATTTGTAAAGCTGAATCTTCTTTGTAATCAGAGACCTAATAAGTAAATTGTACTTTTTTTTACAAAGCAGGATAAAAATGTGGCCATGATCCATCCCTCCATCCCTCTACCCTGCACCTCCCCTCAGCCAGTACAGAAAAAAATCAGGAGATGTTTGTTGCTAGATTATATGGAAGGCCAAAATAGTGACTTCATAGTGACTTCAGCAAAAGCAGTGAAACTGATTAGAGAGGCACTTGTTAAGGAACACTCAGAAATGTCTTTTAATAAGATAACATTGGAAACACACAGTATACCATAACTGGATGATGATATTTGTAACTTGTAGCAGGTAGATTTTTAATTGTTTACGAAAATCCTTAAATTTTTTTCTTCTTTGAAATTTGAAGATTGTTTACATCATTTAGATAATTTAGTATTTTTAATAAATGTCCAGATTATAGTGTCAAACATTTTAAGGTGTAGTGACTTTTTAGAACCAATTCAGGGTTTGAGATCAGTAAAAGTTTAAATTTTCTGGTTAATTTTAACAACTGTAGAGAAAAACAACAAAACAAAAACCATTTTGACAAAACAGGTTTCTAATAAACCTTTATTAGATGATTCTTGAATAACTTAACCTTTGGGCTGTATATACCCTGTGTATCTGTACTCGGGACTATTCAGTTTTGCCATTGGTTGAAAACATTTTGTCTCTCACCATCAAAGTGATCTTGTTTACAGCAATACTTTTGTGAAAGCTATTTATTTGTTGATAAAGCTCTCTTTAAATGTGTTCATCTTTAAAAACATTATTTTTTGCTTAGAATAGAGGTTTGAGTTGAAAGGAAATATGAAGGCAGTTCCTGTTTTGAGAAGGAAGTGCTAGATGATTCCTTCATCAGAAGTGAAGTACTGAAATAAATATTTGTAAATAGAAGTGTTCTAACCTTTTTTAAAGGAAGGAAAAACTCTTTTGGTGCTTGCATATAGGACTGTCTTTAGGAAAACAATGTCAGCAAAGGGAAGACAAAACTATTAGTGTGGATGGAGTAAAAGATGATTGTACACATACAGTGTTATTGTTAAAAACTTCTTACCTCTTGGTTGATTAATTTTTTACCAAAATGTTAAATATTTATACTATTTGAGTTCTTCTCATTTATGGGAAAATAATTAGTGGGATTTTTTTAAACTGTGGTTTCCAATAAACAAACAACTTAAATTGTCAACAGATGTGTACTTGTGTGAATATCATGTTCTCATAATTAACAATTCTGTCTGATGTTAGAGAGCTGGGTACTTCTCCATTTTGGTCCTGTTCCTGTTGAGACTGCTGTGTCCTGGGCAAAAGATTGTCGAGTCCTTCACAAATGGAGCCATGAAAGGTGCCTGGTAATTAAATGATTTGTGCTGGAGGATCTAAGATCAATGAATATTTTTTTCCTCATAATTTATTCAGGAATGGATGAAACAAGAACATGGAACCCTAGTGTCTAAGACATCATTTTGCTGTTGCTCATTAGTAGTCTTTAAAAGTCAATTCAAAGTACAGTCCTGTTTAATGTCAAGAATGTTCCTGTGCCTTCTTTGGTAGGTGTTTTTTTTTTTTTTCTGTCAAGGGGCTTGAATCAGGGTCTGGACACTGTCCCTGAGCTTTTCACTCAAGACTAGTGCTTTACTACGTTGAGCCACAGTGCAACTTGCGGTTTTCTCGTCATTGATTGAAGTTAGGAGTCTCACAGCCTTTTCTGCCTGGGCTGGCTTTTAACCTCAACCCTCAGATCTTAGCTTCCTGAGTAGCTAGAATTACAGGTGTGAGCTTTAGGTGGTTTTGTTGTTTTCTTGTGATGTACAGAGGGGTTACAGTTATGTAAGTCAGGTAATAAGTACATTTCTTTTTGAATAGTATCACTTCTTCCCTCCATTTTCTCCCAGTTTTTCCCTCCCCACAAATTGTATAGTTCATTTTCAACATAGTGTCTAGTGAGTATCATTGCTGTATTTGTTTGATGACTTTGTTCCTATTAGTTAGTTCTTCATTCTGCAGCAAGATGAGCCTTAATCTATGGTTTTCAAGCCCCTCCCTCTGCCATCTTTCTTCATTGTCTGTAGTTTGAATTTTCCCACAGACACCATTATCCATTGAAAATGTCAGTCATGACTTGCCTAGTTTGGTTTCCTTAGCCAAGAGCACCATTGTTCCTATGCTTGTACAAATCTTGAAAAGCCAACCTCATCTCTGCTAGTTCTTTAAACAGCTCTTCCTACTCTTCCCAATTTTATACTTAATAGCATATATTAATATTCTACCCCCTAATTGTTTCCAGCTGTAATATGAGTCCTTCAGAGAGGGGACATGGCATGCCCTATTGCATAGTACATAAAATGATCTTTTTCCAAATATAGTAAGAGTGTTGTTATTTTGGCAAGATATACATATAACAAGATTATCCAGAAAAACTGTCCCTAATGGACAGTGTTTGATACTAACATTTAACCTATACTCCTTAAAAATTCATAATTTGACAAAATCTAAATGTTTTGCTATTTCAAACATATTGTCCCTATCAATTCTAGCCCTGAAATGTTTGTATCAGTTGTGTATCAAAACTGAAACCTATAAAATCGAGAGCAAATAGGGAAATATATATTAAACTGTTACAGCAGTGATTGATGATAACATATGGTAGAACAAAGGCAACTGTTTTATGTTCTACCTTCTGATGAATTTGACTAGTATTGCTTTTTCTCAAAGTTACTGTGCAAAAACATGAGATATCATTTTTTCCTTAGTTCAAAGCTATAAATTTATCCTTTGTGTTCTCTTCAAAACTATGAATCAGTGGTTTAGTGTCATTATAATGACTTGTCCACTAACATAAAGGATGTATTTCACCAAGACTTCTGCAATTAAAAAGTAAGTCTGGGTTTTAGCAATAGAAAATTTCCAAAAGATAAATTCTGTTGTAAAAACAACAGAACACATCATTGGCAAGTGGTGCTTTTCAGAGAACAATTGATCAGACTCTCACTTCCAGAAATGCTCATGAAGAGTTGGAGTCATTCATTGTATACCTCAATGACACATTTCAGCAGCCACATCTGTTTCTTTGAATGTACCATACAGTGAGTGAATATAAGGTAGTCTAGCATAATGTCTTTAATCAAGGAACAAGTGCCTAAATTCCAGTCATGTGGCTAAGTTCCAGTCATGATAAGCCCTGGGGATAAAAGTAACTCAAATCAAAGGTAGGTATAAATCATGTGACTCCTACTAGAATAGAGCTTTCAATAGAGATTGGGAGTTAATGTTTTAAGATGGATTTTCCCCTTGGCGCTTTGGTTCTTACCCAACCCAGTTCAGCTTTCTGGGCATTCACTTATATGCAAACAGTTTTCCTGTAGACTAAAATAGCACTGCATTTGCGTAAATTGTGTCTTTGGGGAACTATGAGCCTTAAAAAATACTTAACCCAATAATTGGGTCAATACCAATATTACTTTGAATTTAATATTCTCTTTATGTTCCATTTTTTGGGGGGGGCGGTCGTGGGGCCTGAACTCTGGGCCTGGGTGCTGTCCCTCAGCTCTTTTAGCTCAAGGCTAGCGCTCTACCACTTGAGCCACAGCACCACTTCCGGCTTTTTTCTTTTTGCTTATGTGGTGCTGGGGAATCTAACCCAGGGCCTCATGCATGCAAGGCAAGCGCTATAC